GGGGCCCAGGAGGAAGCCCCCGCCCGCCCCGCCCCGGGCATCGGTGCCTAGAGCCCACTGCATCAGGACCCATTCGCCTGTGCATCTCAGTGGTCAGAAGGCCCGGTTTCTCCAGAAGCCGCATCGGAGACCCCAGCCCAGAAAATAAAGCTACTGCACTAATTTTCCTGCGCGCTGGGGGCCTCACTCCAGCGCGGCACGCCTTCAGTGCGTAACCTAATACTGCCGCGGGTGACTCCGCCCCGGGTGACGTCACACCATCGCCCCGCCCTCTCCTCAATACCCTCCGGGCCTCCCAGAGAAAAGGGGCGCTTGTTCTTTCCTAAAGGGGCCTGGCCTTCAGAGGGCGGGACCCTGCATGTCTTGGCCTTCGATTGGACCAGCCCTCGCCATCGCGGCCTCGAGATTGGTCTCGAGATCGGTTTGTGCTCCTCTCCCCTCCCTCTTCGAGGCTTCCGCTTCCGGTTCTGACGGACGCTTCGGCCGTAACGATGATCGGGGACATCCTGCTGTTCGGGTAATTAGGGGGGCTAGAGGCTGGGGTAGGAAGGATAAGAGGGACAAGGGGAGGCCCAGGTAACCTCATTCTCCCTTCGCAGGACGCTGCTGATGAACGCCGGGGCGGTGCTCAACTTTAAGCTGTGAGTAGGCCGCTTTGGATCGCGGCTCCACCCAGGGGACCCGTAGACCCGCCCCCACGAGCGTGAGCCCGCCCCAAGTCGTAGGCCACGCCCCCAAGTCCCAGCCAGCCCTCTGGCCACGCCTCCTTCCTGGTCTGTCCTTCTGTGACCCTGCGCTCCATGGTGACTTGAAATCAAGACTTTTCGTTAACGGCGATCTCCCTTCTTGCATCCCGGAGAGCCTCCGGCCCGTCCCCCCAGAGTTCTTAGCCTTCCTTCGTACCCACAGACTAACCTCTCCACCTTGGTGGCTGCAGGCCTTGCTGTGATTGGCTGGTAGATGATGGTCCAAAGGGGCATTAAACCCCCCCCCCCCCGAGGTCACCAAGTCCGCTGCAGGGCTAGAGCTGAAACGGTGTCCGAGGCCCTCTGAGCTGAGGGTCAGGGCCAGAGGACTGAGTGGTCTTTATGTCCCACCGAAAGTGGATACTGTCTGTTCCTCTTTGTAGGAAAAAGAAGGACACGCAGGGCTTTGGGGAGGAGTCGAGGGAGCCCAGCACAGGTAAGACCACCTTTCTGGACTCTGAAATTGGTCCATTCAGAGAGGACAATTTGTTCTTACCAAGCCTTAACTCAGTTTTCTTTTTAATAATCTGTATGTGTGTGTGTATGTGTGTGCGTGTGTGATTGTGTGTGTGAGAGAGAGAGTTGGGCCTGAGGATGTGCTGTTCCTTTTGTTCACCTCTGTCGACCTTCTTTCTCCTGCTAACCCTTCCCGCATAAGTCAGAACTCATATAACTTCGTACAGTTAGAATTTTCCTTTATGTATGATACCATGTGGCTAATATTTGCCCCTCACACTTGCTCCAACTTGTTTTGGCCCATTTCTGTGCCCTCGTGGTGCCAGTCTTCCAGCATGAATGAATGAATGAATGAACGAACGAACGAGCAACTGAACAGCCTCACAAGTAGCTATTGCTTTCAGAGTACTGCAGACCTGTTTTTTCTTTTTTAATTAGATGCCAACATTAGCTTTCAAATAAATCAGATGTCACGTAAAAATTCAGTTGTCTGAATTTTCAAGAAAATTTTTCAAGGAAAATCTGAACATCCTACAGCTCAGGGTTCAAGCAACCTCTTGGCACCTGTTGGGTGAAGTTGGGAAAAACAGGACCCCGTTGAAGCAGGGCCCGTGGCCTCTACTTGTCCCAGCCCCTCATCGTGATACCATTTCACCTGCCTGGCCTCTGGAGGCCCTAGGTTTGACACTTCTTGCTGAATTTATTCATGTGACTGTTTGAGACATGAGACGTGTACATGACTACTGTGTCCATACATTTATTCATTCACCAAGCATTATTGAGCACCTGTCACATGCCAGCCACTGTGCTGGATGCTGGGGACACAGCAGGGAGCAGCCAAGGCGGTGGGTGCTATGATGGAGCATTGCGTAGGGACAATAGGAACCCTGAGGGGCAGTGAATTTGATGACAGTCTGACAGCTCCCTTTTATTGGGGGCCTACCTGGTGGTGGCTGCCCCCTTAGGTGCTTCCTATGGGTATTTCCCCTCCGTCTCCACCCCTAAAAGGTAAAGGGAATTTTCCCATTTTATAGATGTGGAAACTGAGTTTCAGGCTTGTGGCTTGACTTGCTTGTGGTCACGTAGTAAACCAGTGACAGCCTCTTGATTGGAACCTGGCTTTTTCGGACCCCGCAGGTTGTACCCTCAGTCACTAGACCATCCATCCATTCATTCTTTCGTTCATACATCCATTCATTCAGCAGCTATATGTATATTGCTTACCCACTCTGTGGAAGGTACTAGACCAACTCCTGGGGCTGTGGTCTATAGATCTAAATCGGAGCTGGGGTGGGTAGGAGGTGGGAGGGCTTGGTGGTGGTGAGAGTGTCCGCGATAAGGACAGTCACAACAGTGGCTTCCTTGTGATCAGGGGCTCTGTGCACGTCTCCTTCCAGCTAGTAATCTTGTGCTTGTTGCTGCTGCTGCAGAAAATGCCCCTCTCCCTGTGCCTGGCTGACCCCCTGACACAGTAGTGGCTGCAGCTGTCTGTGTGCCAGGCACTGTGCTGAGGTCTTCCTAGTTGCCCGTCACCCCCATTTACACAGGAGGAAGCTAGGGCATTTATAGGCCAGGGGCTGACCAAGGTCACCTGTGTGGAAGGGCAGTAAACTCCTGCCCAAGTTTAAGGTCGGGGCTTATACACTTCCTCGAAGCGCTTAACCCCCGCTCCCCAGCACGGGCTAGGTTGGATGCCCCCTTTGTATGCTCCCATGGCACTTGTCATGGTGAATAATCAGGTGTGTGATTACTTGTTTAGTATTTGTCCTCCGTGTGAGCTCCTTAGGGCAGGGATGCCTGTCTCGTTCCTCCCTGTATCCCCTGCACTTGGCTGCTGCCTGGAACAAATGGCCTTTAGTTAGCACCCGTTGATGGCAGGAGAGCCTGTTTTTTTTTTTTTTTTTTGATGCTGGGCTCAAGGAAGGGCCTTGCCGAGCAGTGCCTCTCAGACATGTTGGGGACGGACCCGCGTTTGACATCTGCAGTCTGGGCTGAGCTGCACGTGGCTGTCCCAGTGGGTTGAACAATACCGGACTCATCTAAGCTGCCTTCAGCAAGTCTGTGTGCTCATCTGGTGCTTGGATGACGCAGTGATGCCAGATGGCTGTCATATCGGGTGGCCGTGTAAATTTCTGAGCTCCTGCGTGGTATTTTCTGTACTTAATGGACAGCCGTGGTCTAGAGATGACATTTTGGGTAGCATGCTTGTAGGTTACCCTATCTGGACCCGTTCATTTCATTCTGGAGGATTAGTGAGGGAGGACGATTGACTTAAAACCCTGAAGGAGGGTTCTGGAACCCACAGCTCTGGAGTCTCATCGTACCAAGCTGTTTCCTCTCGAAATGGGTTCTGCTCTGTGGCATCGGGGAACTAGAGCGAATCATTATCAAAGCAGAACTCCCCTTTTACTTGACTGAGTTAGTTTCCTTTTTCAGCTGCAAACACTGAAAACCCAGCCGAAGGGTAAGGCAAGTTGAAACGTCCCAAGGGTAGGACTGTTCTCAGGCACACCTGGATTCAGGGCTCAGACCAGCCGCCCTGCATGCAATCCTCTCCTTGTCCTTCTGGGTTGGTTTTACTCTCGGGCTGCTTGTTTTTACAAAGGTGACCCGAGAGTGGGGCGCCTGGGTGGCGCAGTCGGTTAAGCGGCCGACTTCAGCCAGGTCACGATCTCGCTGTCCGGGAGTTCGAGCCCCGCGTCAGGCTCTGGGCTGATGGCTCGGAGCCTGGAGCCTGTTTCCGATTCTGTGTCTCCCTCTCTCTCTGCCCCTCCCCCGTTCATGCTCTGTCTCTCTCTGTCCCAAAAATAAATAAACGTTGGAAAAAAAAAGTTTAAAAAAGAAAACAAAAAAAAACAAAGGTGACCCGAGAGCAGG